AAAAATATCAAAAACATCCTCCTTATGGGAGTTACGTTATGTGTTTTGGCGTCGATCAGTGAGATAAACATTTGTTGTTGAATACGTAATTATAAAATTGAATTGTATTCACAATTAACTCATTTACTATAGCATTTGTGTCCTTGAACAGACATCAACTGAGACGAGAGGAATGCAAAATTTTCGAGTGAAGTTTTTTTTTATCTTGTTTATTTGTATATGATTTGATAGAACCTGATGACAATACTTTATTCTGATTCAACAGAAAAAAAGTAAGTAATAAAATGTTATTTGTTTAGATTCAGCGCTAATAAGATTTAAAAATATCCTCTCTAATGTAGATAACTCGAACATGTCTAATAGCACGTATTAGTGAGTATTTATGTTAACCTCTCTAGATTCTTTTAAACAAAAGATAGTAGCAAGTGTTTTATCTCATTGGGATCTTCAAATTGAGAACTCTACATTTATTTATTCAGTTTTTGTTTATACTTTGTTTTATTGCTACAAACATTTAATTTGTTTCTATTTACTGTTAAACGTAGATAAATGAATGAAAAATGCGCTCGTATCTAGCAGCTTTTATTGCTACGGTTCAGTTAGAAAACAATTGATAGCATATTAGGAATTAGTGCCACAAACTACATCGGCTCATAAACGTTTTGATAAAAGAAATATTTTCCATGGAAAATACGCTCATGGTTCTCCTTAGGCCTATTTTTATAAAATTTTACATTTACGCCTTCAAAGGATTGGCTTTGCGTAGCAGAACCAATTTCTTAAAACATACATGACTCGATGTAGTTTTTCACGTTGATCTCGAATATGCTATATATTTCACTTTTTAACTGAAGCGCGGTAATAAAAAATCATTAAACACGAGCGCATTTTCCATTCATTTCTCTTACTTTGCTACTAAATAGGAAAAAAATAAAATATTCTCAACAATGAAACAGAATCGAAAACCAATTAAACATGTGCTTTTGTACCTTAAGATCTGCACGGAGATTCTAACGACAGAAGACACTTATTTCTATCTCTTATTAAAAAAAGTCTAGAGAGTTTAACAAGAACATTCACTAATAAATGCTATGACGCATGTTGGAATTATCCATATAGGACAGGATATTTTTAAGCCTTATTAACTGTAAATCTAAACAAATAATATTTTTTTAGTCAGATTATGATGTTGAATCAGAATAAAGTATATTTATAAAATTAATAAAATAGTGCACTTCGAATTTGACAATTTCTATCGAAAAACCGCTTTGCTTTCACAAGTAATCTTTCTTACAATGTCGTTAATTTTCGTATAAATCATTTTTAACTTTATAAATATATATTTATTAACAATTACAGTAGTCATAATCATGATAGAAATTGAGGTCAATGAAAATGAACATGTATTCGCAATTATCAGTTTGCTTACCATGATTGAAGATTGTAGCAAAGAATTAGAAATAAATCTTTAACGTATGATATTGAATAACAACACTTGAAACTCGTGCACTATGAGACCCTATAATGAAAAGTAGACTAACAACTCCTATGTTTTTCAATTGAACTATTTAAATAATTGTTCTCCAATGAGTTTGAATCTTTCCATTAAATTTCACTCTTTGAATTGATATAAAACTATCATAGTATGCTAACAGTTATTGGTATGCTATTTTACTTTAATCAAGTGTACTACTATTCTAAACATGAACTTGATTACTAAATTGTATTGTCGAAAAGTATCTGTCGAAGGAACCTATAATACAGTCAAAACTCAGTCAATGAAAATCTATGTTTGGCTAGCTGTATTTAATATATATTCAATATTAACATATTCTTAACTACTATGCATGATGAATATAATAAACTTTTCCACTCTCTAATTATTAAAAGGTTATTAGTTAAAATTGGAAATAATCTCCCATATTCTCACATGCCACCATATTCAAATCGTTTACTTTTTTTTTCTAAATCGAAACTTTTACAAAATGAATTTATCGTTCCTACTTTTGTATGTTATTTCGTTTGAACAACAAAATAGTACAACGTAAATTATTCATTCATCAGTAAAGTTTTAGATAGAATTTTCTTATTTTCAAGTTGTTAATAGGCAGTGGCGTACGCAGAAATTTTTCAAGGGGGGGG